TTTCGTATTTTATTTTGTAAGAAAAAAAATTATGTGTGTGTAATTTACTTGGAAATTAGGAAAGCAAAAGCAAGTTGTCATTGCAATAGAAACTACTTAAGATACAAAGGAGATTCTACTTTTTATTATAGAATAAGGATATCCACGAGTGAAAAATCTTATGGAAAATCGTTTGAGTTGGAATATTTTTGATTTTTATGTATTGAAATGCCAGTGGGTTCATGTTACCAAACGACCTTAGCACATAATGTCCTTTCGTCAAAAAGATGCTGTTTTGGATTACATTACAGCAAACGATACGGATTTATTCCATGGACTTTTGGCCCAATTAGCTTCATATGGCCCAATAATTATGTACGTTTAGCTATATTGTAGCATGTTTAACACTAAAGCTTCATACCACAAATGATAAAGCTTCATAAGTCATACCCCAAATGTTGAAAATACGTGTCCAAATTCAAATGTACCCCCAAATAAAGAAATATCTATTTATGGTTAGTTAAAGAAATCGTATTTGAATAATACTTTACTGCTTGAACCTAACTACACTAAAGGAAGAGGAACTAGTCGGTGAACCATAAAACGGACGGTCCAATTTAGACAGTGAACCAAACTTAGCAGACTCATTATGTTCGACCACAACAACAACATAGGCAACGATAATTAAGTCCAAACTCAATGTGGGGGGTGGTGGAGTGGAGGGTTCGTTGGAGTTTGATGAATCGCATTAGATAGTCTTGTTCCGCAAAATATAATAATTACAACCAATGATATATTTACTATATCATGTATTTTTTCAAAAAAAAAAAAAAACTATATCATGTAAATACACAGATCAAATGTTTCAATGAAGACAAGAAAAAATATGAAGTTTGTGGGAGAATTCAAAACAGGTGAAATCAAAATTTGAAAGAGTTATTGAGATGAAAACGAGAATGATAAAAGAAATAGTTTAACGAGTTTTATTGAAGTGTAAGAAACAAAAAAAAACTTTAGGTAAACAAATCTTTATAAAAAAAAAAAATATTAAAAATAATCATAAGAATTAATTTTATCGATTTACAGAATTCTAGTCAATAGATAATCATTTCAACTACTTTTATATATTTGTTCTAATTATTATTTATTACTCTCTTGCGCACTTTACTATGTTTGTCTATTTTGCGTTTGTATATCCTAAGAACGACAAGAAACCATTGGGTATCTAA